TAGCATTCCGAGTTCATTGATATTTCATCGTGTATCAGTCTTCCTTTCTTTTTACTGCTAAATAACATTACATTGCATAGATATGCCACATTTTATTTATCCACTTATCAGTTCATGGACATTTGTGTCCACTGTTTGACTGTTTTGAGAATAGTGATTCTGTGAAAATTTGTGCACAAACTCTTGTATAGACATATATTCTCATTTCTCTTGGGGATATAACCAGGAATGGAACTATAGCTACTGCTTTTCACTGACTCCCTCTGTGTATATCTCTTTGTGTGCATATATATGGGTCCCATGTCCGTTTCGGTGTTCTTTCCTCCTTATGAGCGTGTTTGCGACACAGAGCAGTGCGTTTGCTGTGGAGCCTTGGTACACGCATGCAACACATCGTAATCGTTCTTCATTCCTTTACTCTCTTGCCCCTTCCCCATTCTCTTCCTCGTTTGGAAGCGACTGCTTTATAATTTCCTCTCATTTCTCACTTATTTATTTGTATTCAAGATTTTTCATATCAGCGAAACTATGTGATACTCAGTGTTCTATAGGTGACTAATTTGAAGCCTCAAATTCCATCAATTTTTCAATAAATGACAAGATTTTATTCTGATTAATGGCTAAATAATATTATATTGTGCATATTTACGATATTTTCTCTATTCATTTCTCTGCTGATGGAAATCTAGGGTGTTTCCAGAGTTTAGCTATTGTGAATTGTGTTGCTATAAACATGGTTATGCATGTATCACTATAGTGTAATCTCTTTAATTTTTCAGGAATATACCCAGGAGAGGTATAGCTGAGTCAAATGGAATTTGTAATTTGTAGTATTTTAAGGAATCTTCGTACTGCTTTCCATAGTGCTTGTACTAGTTTACATCCTTACTAACAATATACAGCCCCCTCCCATCCTCACCAGCATTCATTATATTTTATGTTTGTTTTTTTTTTTTTGAGACAGGGTCTCACTATGTAGTTGAGACTGACCTGGAACTCACTATCTAGCCCAGACTGGTCTTGAACGCACAGCGGCGATCCTCCTGCCTCAGCCTCCTGAGTGCTGGGATTACAGGCATGCGCCACCATGCCCAGCTCTTATGGCTATTATAGCTATTCTGACTGGGGTAAATTGGAATCTCAAATTTTGATTTGCAGTTCTCTAATGGCTAACAGTAATGAACATTTTTTCATGTATTTATTGGATATTTATACCTCTTTTGGGAAGTGTTCTTTTCAGTTCACTTGACCCTTTTTTTTTTTTTTTTGAGTCATTTGTTTTGGTGGGTTAAATATTTCTTTTCTTCTATATTCTACATAGTAGTCTTCTATCAGGACAGTGCCTGGCAAACTTTTTCTTTATTCTGTAGGTTGTCTTTTCACTCTGTCGATTGTTTCCTTTACTGTGCAGAAGCCTTTTAATTTGATGCAATCCCATTTGTTGATTCTTGATACTATCTGAGCTCCTGGAGTTCTATTCACAGAATCTTAGTCTATGCTCATAGCATAGACATATGTTTCATGTATTTCCTTTATATTATCTTCCAGCAGTGTAAAGTTTCTGTTTTTATATCTAAGTCTTTGATCCATTTTTATTTGATTTTAGTACAGAGTAAGAGATGGAGATCTAATTTCAACCTTCTAAAAGTGAATATCCAGTTTTCTCATTATCATTTGTTAAACTGTCTTTTCTCCACCATATTTTTGACCCTTTTGTCAGATGTTGGATGGCTATAGATGTATGGAGTTGCTCCTGTTTTCTGTTCTATTCCATTGGTCTACATGTTCACAGTAGTTTTGCCCATATCATGTTGTTTTTGCTACTATAGTTGTGTAGTATAAATTTAAATCCCATACTATGATGCCTACTGTTCTGCTCAGTATTGCTTTGGCTATTTTGGATCTCTACTGGTTCCATATGAATCTTAGGAATTTTTTTTCTAGCTCTGTGAAGAATGCTGTTCGTATTTCAGTAGGAATAGCTTTGAATCTATAAATAGCTTTTAGTGATACAACCATTTTAACAATATTATTTCTACCAATTTTTAAAAAAGGATGTCTTTCCAATTTTTAGTGTCCACTTCAGTTTTTTTTCTTCAGAGTTCTGCAATTTCCATGATAAAGGTCTATCATGTCAGGTGTGGGGGTACACGCCTGTAATCCCAGCACTTAGGAGGCTGAGGCAGGAGGATTGTCATGAGTTTGAGGCCAGCCTTGGCTATATAGTGAGTTTAAGACCAGCCTGAATTATAGCAAGACCCTGTTTTGAGGAAAAGGAAAAAGGTCTTTTACCTCCTGATTTCCTTCTCCATAGGTTCATTATTGGTATATGGTAATATGTTTTGTTTTGTTTTGTTTTTGTACTGGGGATCGAACACACTTCCTTGCGCTTGCAAGGCAAGCAGCAGAACCACTGAGCTAAATCCCCAGCCCCAGCATGTTTAATTTTTGTATATTGATTTTGTATCCTGTGTATCTATCTCTTAATACGTAGACACATGATTCTACATAAACACATACTTTAGTGTGTTATTCTAAATGACCTAGGAAGGAAAGCATTCTCCTGTTTTAACATCACAAATGAGATGAGACTCTGGCAGATCTGCCCAACCTTTTCTTGGTCTGAAGCTTGGCCCGTGCTATACCCCTGGGGTTCTCATCCCCTTTTCTGCATGCTCCCCATCTTCCCCACACCAAGCCTTTGGTTAAATGGAGACTTCATTTCTTACCAGGAAGCTGTGCTTGGATCCCCTAAGTGATCTGGGTGCCTTGCTCTGTTTCCAGGATGTCCTGAGCGTTGTTTCACCATCAACCGCATCACATTCTGCCACATTTGTAACAAAGCTGATGAACCAACAAGACCAAGGCCCTGAGGAAGAGGCATTTTCTTCCTTGACTCCATCTTTCATGCTAATCACAGACTTGAAATGCAACAGTTGTCCAGCAGATGTACATGGAAGTTAAGAAAGGAAAGAGAACAGAATTTGGTCTAGGTATTTGCTAGGAAGGAACATGCCTGATCTATCAGACTGGCACAATCTTTTCTGATACATCCAACAACCATGGGTCGAATTGACACAATAGAAAAAAACAGGTGCTGATTATTCAGATTGGAAAAAGAGTCATTTTTAAAAATCGTTTAGTACAAACTTCTTGTTTTCTTTTTTGGTACCGGGGATCAAACTCAGGACCTTGCACTTTTAGGGCAGACGTCGGAACCACTGAGTTAAATCCCCAGCCCCAAACTTCTTGTTTTGAGTCCTCCAGGAAAGTGATCTCAAAGACAGTGTGTGTGGGCTGGGGATTTAGCTCAGCAGTTTGGTGGCCTGCCTTGCAAGCTCAAGGACCCGAGTTCAATCCCCGGTACCCTGGTACCAAACCCCTGTACCGAAAAAAAAAAAAAAAAAAAAAAAAAAAAAGACAGTGTGCAATACACAGTAATACCCAGGATGCTTTTAATGGTACACAAACCATATTTTTAACTTAAATTTCTTATTTCAAAGTAAATTAGAAATGAATATAGCTAGGATGCAAAACCCACAGAATTGTTTTAGGAGCAGTCTAAAGTCTTTTTTTGAGATTAAGACTATTCAGCCAGGCATGGTGGCATTCATCTGTAATCCCAGCACTTGGTAGGCTGAGGTAGAGGATTACCACAAGTTCAAGGCCAGTCTGCTTTGCATAGTAAGTTCAAGGCCAGCCTGAACTACACAGCAAGACCTCGTCTCAAAAAAAATTAAGTAAATAAATAAAATGTTTAAATAAATTAAAACTATTAAAATATGCATCAAGTAAATAACGGTACAGATGGAACACAACTATAGGAAATAATATATAGATGATACAAAATAATTTAAATTTTGAAATATTCAGGACTTTTAAAATATTTGTGTTTGTGGGTGGTACTGAGAATTGAACCCAGGGCCTCCGCACTGAACTACATCCCCAGATCCTTTTGTTTTTTATTTTGAGAAAGGGTTTAACATGTTACACCACCCGACCCAGGATCAAATTTGTGATGCTCCTGGCTCAGCCTCCCAGAGTGCTTGGATTACAGTCATGTGCCTAAAATATGAAAAGTTTTATATATTGTTTAATTTTTTTGTATATGCCAGGGATCGAACTTGGGCCCTTACGCTTGCAAGGCAGGCAGCAGAACCACTGAGCCAAATCCACAGCCCTAAATATGAAAAGTTTCAAGTACAAAATACACTGGATAAAGCAATGCATCTCCAGGTTAAGTAGGCACGTGAATCATCTGGCATCTCACTATAATGCAGATTTTAATGGTTAGCACATGCAGGAAGGCATCTAAGATGCCGTATGTCTGAGAATTGTTAATCCCAGGCAATACATGGAGATTAAGGTTATAAAATATAAATAAAAGTACAAAGTCATAGTGATAATACTACCTACTACCTTTTTAGTTCTACGCCCTGGGTACTCTTCCAGGTGTTTTATAGATGTTTTCACAAAGTCCTGCAAAGTAGTTACTAATAATCTCTACTTTACAAATGAAACTTTAAAATCAGAATTAGCTTGACTTTCAGTCACAACCCCCCCAAGGTAAGACACACAAGCAGAATGCAAATTATAATATATTTATCTTTGTCTTTTATAAAATAAAAGAAATCAAGCTAGAAGGGCTTAAACCACTGCCTTCTTTTTGACCCAGATAAATTCTCAGCATCTGTTCTATTCCCATGTCCTGTCTGTGACCTCATTGTGAGACAGAAAATAATCTGGTTCAGGGATCAAAGCCTGAAAAGTTTTCTCATTTCCTCACATTCAAAACAAAACAGCTCTGGGCAAAGGATGTATTTCCATTCCACACTTGTGATGAAGAAAAAATAGGAAAGAAAGAATGAAACTCAATCTAAAATTTAAAAAGTATTCTTAAATAGCAATTACCTTTGGTAAAAATATGCACACATAGTGTATGTTAACATGTACAACAGATTCAGCTGCTGTTACTACTACTAATTTATTTCCCCATGGGTACTCTGTGAGTTAACTACCTTACATTTATATGGCTCCTGTTTTTGTAAAGATTCAAGTATGCCTAATTAAGAATAAAGCCAACGAAAAATCAAGATTTCGTTTCAGATGGTTCCAGAGCCCTGTGTAGTGTGGGAAGTGGGTTTGGCGGAGCTTATGTTACTAGTCACGGAGCACGAAGGTAACTTCACAGGGGAAAAGTGAGTCTCTACCTGGATGAACAATAGATTTCAAAACACTGAGGCTTGAGGCTTGAGCTGAATGTTCATTTTGGCCTGTTTTATTTAATCAGGAAATGTCCATAGAAATCTGCATATCTGGCTTCTCTTGAAAATTGTATCTTGCATAGCTTCAGTCCCTGGCAATGGGGAGTGGCTGTCCAGCAGGCTCCATTCATGTCCCTTACCTGCCTGGGCCTGGAAGCCACTTAGCTTGGAATCCACAGTTCGTAAGTAGGGTTATGAACAGCCAGTATTTACTCTCCTCATCATTATCCTGGAGAAGTAAATGTGTTGGAACACAAAAAATAAAAAAACAAAAAACAGCAATAACAACAACAAAAAAACTAGTTTCCTTTTATCAGAGTGAAAGCAGCTGGTTCACATGAGAATTATTCACTGAGTTTGTAGAAGTCAAGCGTGTCCCTATTCAAACACTTCGTGGTGCTCAGATATGCAAGTGCTCCTCCTGGCTGAGCAGAGTTTTGGCTCATTTCCCGTGAGAGTCTTTTTTTGGTACAAGGGATTGAACTCAGGACCTTGCACTTGCAAGGCAGGCGGCAGAACCACTGAGCTAAATCCCTAGCCCTTGTGAGGCTAATTTTAATTGCTGGAAGGGACTCTAGAGGTGGCCCAGTGATTTTCCTGTTGTTCAGTTTGCTGGTGGTTGGAGCTGAACTTCTCCGGAGCTGAAAGGGTTAGTAGAATGAAGGAAGATTTGGGTATACAGTGGGGAAAGATGGTGTCCAACAAAATGGAGTTACTCTTTTTTGAAACAGCACGTACTTTGTTGTGTTCACTTTAGAGACGGGGAACATTCTAAGCATCTGGCCTTATAGTCATTACATAAATATTTATTAAGCATCAGTTTTGTGCCATGTGCTATGCTGAACAAGAAGCACAATGATAGAGGAGATGAGGCCTCCTGCTTTGGAGAAGTTTAGGCTGGAGGTAGCTACCAATTTTTTTTTTTTTTTTTTTTTTGCTACCAAATATTTATATCCTGATATCTATGTGAGAAGTGACTAGTGCCATCTCAGCAGTGGGGCAAAGACCTGTCTATTGGTTCAGTCAAGAGATTCCACAATATTCCCATCTGCTTCATTTCTTTGCCTTCAAATACTCAAAAACTGCACTTTAACTTGAAAAAGCTATCCCGGAAATCCTACTGCCTCTTACCTCAAGACACGTCCTCATCCTAGGCAAGCATGAGCCCCCAATTTCTCCAAGTCCTTGTGATAACACAGGTGCGGCAGACCCAGGCAGGCAGCGTCTACCTGAGGAGTTGCCAGAACACTCCAGCCCTGCCAATAAGTGGCAGGCAGAAACACTGATCCAACATTACCAGATGTCAGGATTTTTGACAGAGGCCAGAAATTGGGATTTTAAACAAAACTGATTCCATGTTTTGCAGGAATTAGAGTTCAAGGGCTGGGGATTCAGCTCAGCAGCACCGTGCCTGCCTTGCAAGTGCAAGGTCCAGAGTTCGATCCCTGGTACCAAAAAAAAAAAAAAAAAAGAATTAGAGTTCAAAAACATTTTAAAACTCAGCGTACATAATAAAAAATTGATTTGCAGTCAGATTTTTTAATGAGGAGGTCCTGATATCATGCCTTCATGCCAGACCACCCAGTGCTCAGTACCCTCCTTGTGTTTACAACTGACACTTAGCAGAAATGGGTAGCCTGGGATTTGCTTTTTCCAGGAAGTCCCATTGGGCCTCTCATGTGTTTGAAAATCCAACCCCAATGAAATATTCAGCTTCCTGCATGTCTCTTTCAACTCCATCTCTATGTCTATCTATCTAAAAATAATTATTAAAAAGAGTGGAATTTGAACATATTCATCAACACGTTACTTTTTAGGAGGAATCTCTGAAAGATATGAGTGATTAAGACAGTATTCAGTTCTTCTGACCCTAACGCTTAAATTTCATATTCACATGACTCTGGCTTGGAATGAAAAAATCCTTTCCTGGGCATTTATGCTTTCTTTCTGAACTGGTCTTGTACTAAAACGCCCTTGAGCGGTTTATTTTTCAAAGCCCACAAAGACCTCGTTTTCTCTCACTCACAGGTGTGCTCTGTGCTGCCTGGATTGTATGAGCCAGTTACATGGAAGGTTCTGTTTGGATTTTTCCTTTTCCCTGCTCTCAAAGCTGCTTCCTTTTCATCCAGCTGCAGACAAAGAAAAACATGAGTTGAAAATCTAAAGGCTCCCTGGCTTTTGTTTTAAGTCAGAGAAAATATTTTCGTTTTCTAATTATTTTACCACAGCGTCTTACCTCCTTAGGACCTAACTTATGCACAATAGATAGAATAAAATTTAATTAGCAGCCTCGGATTCCTGACTTTCCTTAGCAACCTCCCAGAAGAGGCCTCAGCTTTAAAAAGCCTCACATTTCCTGCTTTTCTAGAATGAATTTTTAAAAGATAAAACAGTGTCTCTAATACAATATGTTCATGTAAAACATACTAGTATCTTGGGATGATTTGGCTAATATTTAATCTTATTTTTCTAATCTTATACTTGCGTCAAAAGAGTAAGAGTTGAGCATCATCAACAGTTACCCTCCTCTAGAAATACCTTGTCCCTTGTGAATTTAAGTGATGGTTTCATCCTCTCACAGCCAAGGCCTTTATAGTTAGTAATGCCTAATGTGACCTGATTTTCTGAGACTGAGCAAAATGACAATTTGTAGGGCCAAAAGACAATAATAACAACTGGCATTTCTTAATTGCTTGGTACTTGCCAGCACTATTTGAGTCACTTACTCATTTAACAATTACTATCATTATCCCACTCTTAGGTGGCTCAGCTGAGGCAGGAGAGGCATTATAACTTGCCCAAGGCCACAGAGGTAATGTCAGAGCACATATTTGAACCCAGGGCTAAGGTCTGTAGCCTTAATCAGTTAGCTGCCCTACTTCCCCGACCTGGACAGAAACAAAGCTTGGACAAAAAAGCTAATGTTTTTTTTCCCTTACAAGTTTGCCTTGAGTACCCTTAGTTCTTTCTTTTGTCCCAAATTCTTCATTTGCAAATCCCAACAGTCTATTTACCAGAGTTTTGTGGAAACTCATTATTTAAATGTATTCATAGTTCCTTGGAAGAAAGGCTCCATAAATATTACAGAACCATTTAAAAATATATGAAATGTATTCACCTGAATGTGATGGTTTTATTTCTCCCTATAAATAAATAAATGAATGCTGATTTTCTATCTGAGTCCTGAGGACATGGTAGCTCCAGGTACCTCTTCCTCATCTTACAATCCAGGGTGCCAAGGTTTTGGGGCTGAAGTTCAAACTCTGTATCAGGAGTGAGACCCTCTGAGGTCTCACCGAAATGGCTCCCCAGTTTTTGGTTCAAATCTCTACAATACTGTCACAAGAAAAATATACAGAAGCAAAAAAACGGACAAATGGTGATATGTTCACACAGTGGCGTACTATTCAGCAAGAAAAAATGAATTGCATATATGCACCATATGGACGAAACTCATGAGCACTGATGCAGAAAAAGATAGATAGGAAATAATCAGTGTCACACAATGTTACTCATATAAAGTATAAGGACTGACCAGTCCTGCTGTCATGGACAGAGTGTACACAGGCCCAGGAAGACACAGGGGGAACCTATGGAGTAAGGAAATGTTTTATGTATCAATCTGGCTATGGAAGCTACATACATGAGTAAATATCGGAAGGTTGTGCACTTATGGTTAGTGCATTTCATGCATATTATACCTCAGCAAAACAAAGTAAGCAGAAGACTGCTGAACTGAAATATGTACAATGGGCCTTGAGGCCATTGCTGAAGGTGGAAACCAGCTCACAACAGAGTTTGTGGGCCAAGCTAAGAGCTTTTTGTACTCAATTCTGTAAGCTCAGTGGCATAGTGGATAAGCGACATGATCAGATTTGAGTGCTGAAAGCTCTGTCAGCACCATTTTGTACAGAGGGAGCATTGGAGCTGTGCCAAAGCAGAGTAGGGAGACATGCTACACTTAAAATATTCTTCCTTTGCAAAATATCTCATCCGACCAACTTGGTGAGAGCACACTTCTGCACATACGAACTGTTCACCCGTGAAGTGGGGTGGACAGGAGGCAGCAGCACGTGCCTGCCCTCCCTCGTGAGGCCTGCTGACGGTGTTAACGGGACTCCTCACCACTGTGAGCTCCTCGGGGCAGGCCCGCTGGGATCAATACTCATACTTCCCAGCCCCCAGCCTGTCAATGTTGCCGTTTTTCCCCAGCATTAGCAGGGAGGAGGAGGTGGTCACTCCCGCCAAGCTGACCTAAATAACATGCAGGGATCACAAGGTCTTTTCCATGGGGATTGTGTATAATTTGCATATTCTCATTCAGGCATGCTGTCACAACCCAAGCTGTTTTCCAGATTAAAAACCAAACTGAACATTAATCATTTTTAATATTCCTAAATGACAGTTGCAAGTCCTTTTATTTTAATATTTGTGTTGAAGTTTCTATTTATTCAACAAATGTTTTTGACCTAAAACTGTTTATAGTATACCTATTTAAGCATTTTAAATACATACACAAAGGATAATGCTGTATTGGTAACCTGGGTTCTTTTTTGATACAAGCTTCTTCAGGTAAGATCTCATATTTTGCACTGAACATAAATAAAATACCCACTTACAGGCCATTCAGTAAATTGGAACATTTAGATTTAACACAAATGCACTTTATCAGAATAAGATTCCAATTTTATTTTGGGGCCGGGAATTTAGCTCAGTGATTCCACCACCTGCCTTGTAAGGGCAAGGACCCGAGTTAGATCCCTGGTACCAAAATACACAACTCCCTCGCAAAAAAATATATATTATATGTGTGTATATGTGATGAACAAGAAGTAGGCAATTGAAAATGGACTGCCTGAATTTTCTTTAACCCTTAAGATAATTTCTGCTCCATAAATTAAACAGCTAAAAGACAAGGTGAGGCTCAGTCCATGAAAACTCACTGCTTTACAAATGGAGAAAGTGAGCACCATGGAGCCTAAGGGACTTAAACAAGGTCAAGTTGTTGACACAGGTTCTTTATTATGCTTTCCTTCATTTCCAAATTAAGTGTATTTTTAGCCGGGTGTAGTGGTGCACACCTATAATCACAGCACTCGGGAGGCTGAGGCAGGAGGATCACTGTGAGTTCGAGACCACCTTGGGGCTACATAGTGAGTTCCAGGTCAGTCTCAACTACATAGTGAGAACCTGTCTCAAAAAACCAAACAATCAACCAAACAAACAAACAAATAAGAAAACCACCCCCCAAAATTAAGTGTATTTTAAAAATCTTAATGAAAGTGTATCCTGAAAATAAGAGGAGAAGAGAAAAAGATTATTGAAAAAGTAACTATTGGTATAAGAAACCTCTATGAGATTAAGACAGCTGAGAGCTGGGAGATTGTACAATGAGAGAGCAGGTTGAGACTGATCAAACCCCTACCAGGAAGAAAGAAAGCTCTGAGAAGGTAAGAGTCAGGCTCGTACATCAGACACCAACTGAGGCTGTGAATCTGAGATGCCGAAATTGACGGGGATGAAAGGAAGGTCCCAAGGCAACTTAGACTTAGAGACTAGCTGGGGGTTTTTTTTCTTTAACAAAATTAATACCCAAAAATCCATCACAAAAAACTGTAAACTTTTAAACAAAGCAAGGTCTCACCCTCACATCACTCAGTCTCACATGCTTCATCGTAATTCTGGCCCTGGTTCCAAAAAAGCTATTTACAAAAATAGACAACTGGCCCATGAACCACAGTATGCCAGTATGAGTTTTTAGAACTTTGCAGTAAAATATAATGCATCTAGATTATTTCTGGCATTCCCTTAAGATGTGTGCCCAATAATAATGCCTCACTCACTCACGGTCATCCTAATCTTGGCCCTGACATGGACCTAGCAAATGGAGACTTCCCTTCAGGTTAGATAACAAAGAGGTTTGAAAGTAAAACAAAGTTATGCAAAAAAAAAATGTAAAACAAATCAAGGTAAATGCATATTATACTTATGTGTTCCTTTTAGGTAAAACTGCCTTAGCTTCCACAAAGTACATTTTTGTAAGTGTGAGAGAAAATGGAAACCCTTGTGCAGGATGGAGTGGGCCAAGGTTCAAGAATCTCCTTGATCAAGGGTTCAAGCAGCCACCTGGAATCAAAGCAGTGGCACAAAAACTAGAGCCCAAAGCAGGGTTTCAGCAAGGCCCACGTTACTTCAATGTCTGGTATTTGCTAACCTCATGTTTTTGTGCTGTATTTAAAGTTTATGCCTTCTAAAGTGTCATGTTAGAATTACTTCATAAGTTTTAAACGAATCATGGTTCAAAAGCAATTCGGGAATCCAAAGAAAACTTCAATCCAAAGATCAGGTCAGAATTTCTTCAGGATATAAGTGGTGATTTGTCTCAGTCTTACCTCAAATAATCTCCAGCTGAAAGAACACATTTGAAACATCATACTCTCTGCAAGAATGTACAGCACAGTGATTCCCCATTCCAGGACATTATATTATATCATTATATTAGTGAGTTATTAACAGACTCTGGATATTTCATTTTCCTACTGAGGTGTCAACTAAACTCATAGTCACTTCTTAGGTCAGCACAATTTTCTCTTAACTTATCTTGTACCTACTTAAAGATTTCCATCATCCAGATCTGAGAATATCATCATTCACGGAGCCTTGTGAAAGTGGTTGCAGTTGCCTTCAAACTCTGTAAACGGTCATCAGAATGACTAATATGATGTTTGTGCATATCTACTCCCAGAAAAACCCAATTATTAATTAGGTTGTGCTGGGACTCTTTGAAATCATCACAGCCATATATTCTGGGACAGATTCATTTCTTGCCATGAGAATTATAGCTTTTGGACTTAGTTGGTGTTAAATGGGATAATTGTATCCACAAAACTTTTTTCCTATCTCTGTGTTTTTAAAAAGTTTTCCTTTTATTTTATTGTTGATTCCTGAAAATATGGTAAGATTTCTTTCTTTTTATATTTTACTAGCTAAAGTAGTTGGTGCATCATAAATAACTAATATGTGATATATGGTAATTCATTAAGGAAGAAAAAAATTAAGTCATAATGCATTTCCTGAAGCCGAAGAATACCCCTTTATCTTTACTCTCAGAGTCCATTTGGGATACAAA